TAGCTGGATGAGACAGTCTGGTTCAGGTTGCATTTATTTAGTTTTAGATTAATTGCTTTTCCAAGGTCAATATGCATGGATTCTTTTTCCTAGGGAACAATCACTATCTCAGCCTTATTCTCCTTGAGAAGCCTTTAGCTTGGATTAGGCATGTTGCGTTGCAGTTAAAATAGATTTATCCTTATTCTCTGTAACAGTTATGCCAGTGCGTCTGGCTCTCGAGTATTGCTAGCTTTACAGAAATTTAATTAAAAAGCACATGATTCGTATTTATTTAACTCCATTTGCAGCAGGGTAAAACAGCAGCCTGGAGAGAGAGTGATTGTGTCGTTCCTTTGCTTGTTTTGTTTTTGCAGGTTGGTTTCATAGCTATTATTTGTGCCCCTTTACTGCTGGTGTTACCCCCCTTTCCTGTTCTATTTATTTTTTCTCACCCTGAAGTCCAGTGTTTTACAAACTTTCTCCGAGACTAGGACTGTTCAGCTTGGACAAGAGGAGACTAAGTGGGGGAGAGGGGGGAGATATGAGAGAGGTCTATAAAATCATGAGCAGTGTGGAGAAAGTGAATAAGGAAATGTTATTTACTTGTTCCCATAATATAAGAACTAGAGGCCACCAAATGAAATTAATGGGCAGCAGGTTTAAAACAAATAAAAGGAAGTTCTTCTTCACACAGCACACAGTCAACCTGTGGAACTCCTTGCCTGAGGAGGTTACGAAGGCTAGGACTATAACAGGGCTCAAAAAAAAAGCTAGATACATTCATGGAGGTTAGGTCCATCAATGGCTATTAGCCAGGATGGGTAAGGAATGGTGTCCCTAGCCTTTGTTTGTCAGAGGGTGGAGGTGGATGGCAGGAGAGAGATCGCTTGATCATTACCTGTTCTGTTCACTCCCTCTGGGGCACTTGGCATTGGCCACTGTCGGCAGACAGGATGCTGGGCTGGATGGTCCTTTGGTCTGACCCAGTCTGGCTGTTCTTATGACAAAGCTTTCCTTTCAGATCTTTCCTCAATTCCCGAATCTTTAAAGAGGGAAGGAGATTTGTTCATCACCCTTCTAGGTTACAGAGCTCAGAATTCAAACTGCTCTTATGTCCATTATACCATCTTCCCGACTGCCCGTGATGTTCACTGGTTTTGTTGTGCTCCCTGCCGTGTGATTAACACACTGTTCGATGTCACGCCCGTAGCACCCCGACTCTTCAGACATTCACATGAATCGTGGACATTAACCCTCTGCCTGACATGCCTTCCTGGGGTAGCTGCCACTGGGTTGATCTAAGAATTCTTCCATTGACCTAGCTTCTGCCTCTCGGAGCGGTGGATTAATTCCTCACCTACAAGTATAGAAAAACACCTTCCATCGGTAGCAGAGCCGTCTACACAACAGCACTATTGCAGCACCACAGGAGTTGTGCTCTTGTGCTGTAGTGCTGTGCTAAACTGGTTCAGTGTTTGTCTACACAGGAAAGCAGCCCTGGCATAACCCAAAGTGTGAACGTAAACTAAATCCTGTTAAGATAAACTGAAATAAGAGAGTCCAAACAGGGGTTTGCCCCAGTCTGAATTAATTGGCAACAAGTTTCATTTAAAGACAAATAACCCACTAACACCAAAATAAGAGCAATCAGACAGGGGTTTGCAAATGGATTCAAGCTGGTGAAATGTTCCTGTGCCGAGAAAGCTTAAGTTAAACCTATGCAAATGCTTTAATTGGGCACTCAAAATTAAGAGTAGCTAAAACTAGTTTAATTTAGCATTAAGATCATTAATAATAGCCGGTCTTAATCCAATTTATGTGTCCACACAATGAGGCTGCATTGACTTAACTAATGTGATGTAAAAACCAGTGTCATTAAATATATGCAATTTGACCGGAATCTCACAGAATTCATTTGTTTTTCTTAACTCCAAAGGGGCTGTCGCTTTGTGTGAAAATCTCAGCTGTCTTTTTAAAAATGAAAGTAAAGACAATGGGAAGAAAAAGTGAAGAACCAACCATAAGTGCTCAAAACCCAGATGGCAAAGAAAAAAAATTGCATTTTTCTCATGGTTTGGGGGAATCTGACTCATCGTTTTTGAACGCTTGGGATGGACAGTAGTTTTGATCTGCTCCTATAACATGCGAGGCTCTGTACAAATCCACGGCTACTGCCCCCAGGTACTGACACAAAAAGCTATGAGCAGCCCTCCCCTGTCACATCAGACTTTATTCCTCAAGGAGCCAGTAGAGTCCTGTCTTGCCAGACAGTGGCTGTACAGCAGTCAACAAACAATCTGGTAATAATTACAAAGCCCCTGGACTTTTTCTATTTGCTGTCTCCTCAGCATTCTTCTCTGCAATGCTCACTTTTCGATGTACTGATGGAGAGAAAATGCCATACGTATAGTAAGCAGCTGTAAAACATGTTGCTAGGTGGGAGGAAAAACTAAAGAAGATGCAAAGGGCAACCACAGAGACCAAAATGAACCCGCGGGTTCTATTGCCACTTTTGCAACAAACCCTGAAATTCGGTTTCTGATGCACTTGGGGGAATCAGGGCATAAAACAACAGAGCAGTTTCAATACCAGAATCTTTCAAAGCTCCTTTCCCAGGCTGACGGTAACTGTCCCCAGCAGCCTTTGGGAAGGGCAAGAGAGTGTTACAAGGGTGAAGAAACTGTAGCCCTGCTGTGACGTGCAGGATGTGTGGGAGCGGAGTGACTCACGGACCAGCACTCACTCATGTATTGAATGAAACTCTTGCCCAGAAATAATCTTCTAGATTTCAGGCACAAATATCTGCACATACTAAGTGCTGCATATTTACACAGGGGCCCACATCAGACTGGTGGCTTAATGCCTGATATAGGTCAGACAGGGGGAC